ACGCTAATCCACACCTCATTTGCATACCAGCAGTGTAGGCAAAGTCCCAGAGATACACATACTTCTGATTGAGAACCACTGGTCTACAGAATGCTATAGCACAGCAATGGGCAAATATCAGCCTGTGGGCCAGATGCTGTTTTCCAGAGTTAGCCCCTGGCGGGTGCTGGGGCTGTATTTACCTGCACCTCCACAGGAATGGGTGCTTGTGCTCCTATTGGCTGTAGCTCACCATTCCCAGCCAATGAGAACTGTGGGAAATGGCAAAAAGCAGGATGTCGCTTCCCACACCTCCCATTGGCTGGGACGAGCAATTTGCAGCCAACAGGAACTGCAAGTACCCGTACCTGTGGAGGTGCATGTTAATAAATCAGCAGTGGCCTGCCAGGGCTAATCCTGGCGAACTGCCTCCATTTTATTGCCTACCCCTGCTGTAGCAGGCAGTGACTCTCAGCTGACGTCTCCCAGATAGCCCTTTACATTTCATCCATTCATCTCACCTGGACTGGAAACAAAACAGTATTTGGAATAAAAGTTTTACACCAAAATGGCCTTTTCTCCACATGCATCTCTGTAGGGAGGGTATCTTCCCAGGGCTGCTCCAAGGCTTGGATGCAGAGTTAAAACAATTCATTATTCAATAATCACTGAAAATACAGTATTGAATAGTACTGGACCTAAAAAATACCCCTGGTGGGACCCCATTAGCTATATCCCCTCAGTCTGACAATGAACATAGATAATTACGCTTTGAGTACAGTCTCTCAGCCAGTTGTACATCAACCTTATATTGATTTCCTTTAGATCCTGTTCCTAGTTTGCTGATGACACTCTCATGTGGGACTGTCAAAAGTGTTACAGAAATCAAGATACATCAGTGCACAGCTTCCCTTCCCCAGCATCTACTAGGTTACTAACTCTGTCAGAAAAGGGAATTAGAGTGATTTGTTCTTGACAAATTCATGTTGGTTATTACTCATAACCCTACTATCCTCTAGGTACTTACAAACTGATTGTTTAATAATTTGTTCTATTATCTTTCTCTGTATCAAAATTAGCCTGACTGGTCTATCATATCCCTTGTCCTCTTTGTTCCCCTTTTTAAAAATAGGTATTTTATTTGGCTTTCTCCAGTCTTCTAGGACCTCACCTGTCCTGTATGAGTCCTCAAAGGTGATCAATAAGGGTATGTCTAGACTGCGACGGAGCCATGTAAATTAGTTTACTCAGCATACTCAATGAAGCGGGGATTTAAATAATCCCCGCTTTATTAAAATAAACTTGGCCACCGCTCTGTGCTGACAGTCAGCTGATCCGGCACAGTGCGGCAGTCTAGACGCGGATCTGTCAGCTGGGGAAACCTTGCCGGCCGATCCTGTAAACCTTGTTTCACGAGGCATAAGGGATCGGTCGGCAAAGTCTTCCCCAGCTAACAGATCCGCGTCTAGACTGCCGTGCTGTGCCGGATCAGTTGATCGTCGGCACAGTGCAGCGGCCATGTTTGTTTTAATAAAGCGAGGATTATTTAAATCCCCACTTCATTGTATGCTGGGTAAACTAGTTTACATGGCTCCGCTGATGGAGCCATGTAGTCTAGACATACCCTAACAGTTCTGAGATTGCTTCAGCTCGTTCCTTAAATGTATGAGGGTGAATTGAATCAAGTCCTCCTGTCTTAAATACATCAAAATTATCAAAATAATTTTTAAATGCTCTTTCCATATTTGGGCCTGTGTTCCTTCCCCCTTGTTAGTTAACACAAATAATATTACCATCTGGTCCAAAATGACCTTTTTACTGATGACTGAAGCTAAATAGACATTAAATGCCTATGCCTTCTTGAGGTTGTCCATTATTAGCTCTCCTTCCTTACTAAGTAGAGAATCTACAACAGTGTTTCTTAAACTTTTAAAGACCGAGGAACACCAAAATAATTTTTTTTATGAGGAACACTAAAGATTTTTTTGTTGAGCCAAAAAAAAGGGGGGGGGGCGGGGAGTCAGAGCAGGGGCCTTTAAGGACGGCCATTTCAAACTCTGTTGTTCTCCATGGCACACCTCTGACTGCCTCGTGGCACACCGGTGTTCTACGGAACACAGTTTAAGAAACACTGATCTACAAGTTCCCTCATCTTTCTCTTGTTCCTAATGTATTTATAGAATACCTTGTTATTGCCTCTTATTGCTTTCCATATCCCCAGCTAAATGTAACTTATTTTGTGCTTTAGCCTTTCACATTTTGTCACTATGTGCCTGTATGCTTCATTTTGAACTCCTCTTTAGCAATTCATCCATGTTTCCACTTTTTATAGGATTTCTTTTTGATTTTCAGTTCACTAAAGAGCTCTGGATGGAGTCATATTGACCTCTTATTATTCTTCCTATTTTTGGTTGCATTAGTATAGCGATCAGTTGTGCCTTTTAATATTGTCTCTTTGAGAAACCACCAGCTCTTCTGAAGCCCCTTTCCTCTTAGATATTCTTCCCATGGAATCTTGCCTGCTAAATTTCTGAGTTTCCTAGTTTGCTTTTTTGAACTCCCTTTTCCCATCCTACTGCTCTCATGCCTTCCTTTCCTTAGAACATGAAATTGATCATCTCATCACACAAATTGCCTTTGGCCTTCAGTTTCTCCTATTAATCAGAATCAAGTCTATAATAGCTGTTCCCTTGGTTTTTTCTTTCACCTTCTGAAACAAAAAGTTGTCCCCAGTATATTCCAAGATCTTACTGAACATTTTCATGTGTTTTGCCATTTACATTTTCCAACAGATATCTAAATAGTAAAACCTCCCCATTGCTACCAGGTCCTGTAATTTGGATACTTCTGTTGTTTGTTCTAGAAATGCCTTTTCTGCCTCCTTCCCCTAAATTGATATTTTTTCTAGTAGACTCCTATCATCACATTTCCAATTTTTCTTCCTTTTATCATGACCCAGAGATTTTCAACTGGATTACCTCCCATCTCCTTCTGAACCTCAGAACAAGTATATATACGAAGTATAATACAGGATTTCACCGCAATCTTTGTCTTGCTGATATAGATGGACTATTGGTGTGTTCCTAATGTATAGCTATGTCTGTTCCTGTAAACATACAGGAATGGAATGGTAGTAAAACAAAGGAGACTGTGTGCATCCTTCAGTTTAAACCCTGTATAGACTCAATCAGTTTGCTATTCTATTTTCACTAACTTGAAACTTATATTACCATGAATTTCATGAGCTTACTAACGTGACTGTCATCTTTTTTGCATGAGAATGATCATCACGTTTTCCATTTAAGAACTTGATATTCTTGACAAACGTATCTAAATTCTATAAAGAGAGTTGACAGTTTGTAGGTATGGGGCTTTTTTCTTTTTTCTATTATTGTCTCGCTTTAATAGAAATGCTAATGGGAAAAACATGAAGGACAGCATAATCATGGTATTGCTCTAGTAGTTCTGTAGTTAAGTTTTCCTCAGAGCTTTAATTATAAACTACTTATTTCAGCAGTTTAACTTTATAAACTCTCAGAAAAACACACTGACTACGTCTACACTGGCACCCTTTTCCGGAAATGCTTAAAACGGAACAGTTTTTCGTTATAAGTATTTCCGGAAAAAGCACGTCTACATTGGCAGGATGCTTTTCCAGAAAAGCGTCCGTGGCCAATGTAGACACGCTTTTCCGCAAAAAAGCCCCGATCATCATTTTCGCGATTGGGGCTTTTTTGCGGAAAAGACTACTGTGCTGTGCTGTCCGGAACAGTTTTTCCGGAAAGGACTTTTGCCTGAACGGGAGCAGCATTGTTTTTCCGGAAAAACACTGACAATTTTACAGTAGATTGTCATTGCTTTTTCGGAAAAGCAAGCGGCCAGTATAGACAGCTGGCAAGTTATTCCGGAAAAGCAGCTGCTTTTCTGGAATAAGTGGCCCAGTGTAGATACAGCCATTGTGTGGTACATTCATTCCATTTGTAGATGCAAATTGAGCCTTTTTTAGCCAGGGGATCATAATGAAGTTGCCACCCAAGGATGGGAGGCTGCATGTGGTGGACCGGAAGGAAATGAAAAACTAAGAGAAGAATTGACTTCATCTACTTAAGGAAGATGACTACAAGACTATCATTGTCCCTTGGAGAAGTAGATGAAATTAAATAAAATGCAGTAAGAATGTGTTGGAGCGTGTTAAGCAAATGCCAATATAATTTGATTGAATAGAGGAATAATTGTTGAGTATGTGAACAAAACTACAAAAGTCTGTGTGCAGTTGGGGAGAGTGAAGAGTGTTCAGGGAGTACATCTCCTAGTCAGCATGTATGAAGTCAGCATTGTGCTGTGTGGGGGCACAGAGTGGGAATATGCCATAAGAAAAAACAAAACCTTGAAAGAGCACCAGCTAGGAAACTCCTTTGTTAGGCGTAGTTCTCCATATTCTAGAAACATGATTATGCATTCTAAGGCACTGATTCAGGGAAGCGTTCCTATTCAAGAAGGGTATGTAAGCAAATTCGTAAATCCATTGGAATCAATGAGACTTAAGTATATGGCTAAATAATTTTTTAGGAAAATTGGCATACACTTATGTACTTTCCTGAAATGGGAGCCAGAGGAAGGCAAAGATAATTTTTGTTAAACTTCTTAGGAAATTAATGTATGGCCTGAGCACATCAGCAGAGAAATACCTGAACAGCACCCTGTAAACTTACCAAGATTGTAAAGCATAAATCCAATGATTAATAAAAGTCCTCTGTTCCAAGAAGAATGCAGGGAGCTAGATCTATAAAGTCTCAAAGACCTCATTAGAAACTTGTAATCCTTTGTTTATATACTGCTGTACGATTTACTCTGACAGTTCTGCTTCGGGAGGCACTGCTGCTTGTCCTCAGCGGGTGGGGGAGGACCTGAAGGATGGTGTTTCAGTGCTTGTGACAGATTGTGTAATGATTCTTTTTCAAAAGAGGAGGAATGAAAGGCATGGGCTTGGTGGAGGAAGGAAAATATGTATCATTTTACAGGAACATTTGTTTGCAGCAGCTCGGAAGTAGGATTGACAACTGCTCTCAGTTTCTTTTCAACTCGCTGCTGTAACCACAGTCTCACAATAAACAAAGGATTCTAGAAAAGGTAAGCCTTCCCTTAAGGGCTGTTCTCTTTGTTCCCTAACCTAGACTTCAAGAGCTAAGTTTGGATCCAAATGTGGAACCCTTGGTCTCTGACATTCCAGGGTGATTGGATCCCTACCAACCTTTGCAGCTCAGACCCATCTCTGCAGGTAGCATGGCAGCTGCTTTTGCTGGTCTCTTGCTGTGCAAAACTCAATACCATGTCTTGCAATGAGGGGGAAAAAATCAATCAAACAACTTTAAAACAATTCTAATGAAGATTCATGAGGCAAATTGTATGGCTTGTTAGAAAAGAAAATAAGAAATTCTGCACACACCAACTTGTTAGGGTATTAGCCAAGAAGCTACAACTCACACAAATAAAACATCTTTTGTATTAATTTAAGATGAAATATTATTTACCTTTATGAACACAGCAGGGCATCTTGTTTTTCCCCAACTTTTGAAATGTGCTTCTGTGCTCTCAATGTTTTCTCTTATTGCTTGTCCTAGAAGTGGATAGTATGCTATAGTCTTTCTGCTCACTGCTTCCTCTTGAAAGAGGGT